GGCTCTTAATTTCATAGGGTTGTTGTAGTCTGACCAACAATTGTAAGTTTAATTAATTAATTTAATTATTTACACAATTTTGTAAGTTTGTCTTAGCCAAGTAATGTAAAAACGTTATGAGCAACTATTACCACTTCAGTTGTCTTATTTTGGTGCTTTTCGCAGACCTTATATTTTCAATGAAAGAAAAAATGGAGCAGAATGGTGAGAGCTTGGTTTCGCATAGAACTGCAGTCATGACCAAACACTCCTACATAAATAGCAGGCTCTAAATGAGAAGCACTATCTCTGTCCAGCCATGTATCCTTATAATTAAGTAGTGATGACTTCATGAGATTCTTTAAAGATAAAATTATTTGAGTTCAAACACGTTTTAAACATTGGGGTGTCAGGTTTACATGCAATGTCTATGGTGGATGTGCGTCAAGGAGCGTCGGGAAGTGCTGTGGCACATCTAGAGCATTTAGCATGGCGCGTTCTGAGCGATTTGAGCATGTGATACACTTCACATGTGTTTCACACGTTACGTGCATCGAGCGCTGGAGTTGGAAAATCTGAGCTTTTGCTGCTCGATGCGGCGCGTCAACCAATCAGGAAGACTCCACTGTATGACGTAGTGACACACTTTCCGACAGGACAGTTTCATGAATGATGTCCGCAAACATGAGACATATCCTGATCAAATATAACACCAAGGTTATTCACGTAAGAGCTGGAGACCAAATTAATGCCATTCAGAGGAAGTGAATGGCTACAAAGTTTATTTCTAAGATGTTCAGTTCAAAAACCATGACCTCTGTCTTATCTGAGTTTAGAAGCAGAAAATGAATAGTCATCCATGTTTTTACGTCTTTAAGACATGCTTGTAGTTTAAGCAACTGATTAGATTATTTTAATATGTTATTATGTTAGGTGTTAAGTAGGTATATTAGGTGAGGTCATGGGGTTTACATATTCTTTATAAATTTTAATTTATTTATTTTATTTTTGGTCAAACATAGCACAGACTAACTATCCAACAAAGATTTTTTATGTTTTTTTAGCTCTGATGAGTCACTCTTCAGAGCTACTGTGTCATTTCATGACATCACTATGTGTTTCTATGCAACTGCCACCTAGCAGTAGGCAAAACAATCAGAACACACGACTGAAAATTGTTATTTCAGGCCTGTACATCCATAAACATGGTCAAAACTTGATGAGATTTGGCACAGATGTTGTCCTACCTGACCAAGTGTCCAACAGCCCCATATGCATGTTCATTAACTCCACCTAAAACGTCGTCTATTTAAAGTGCCTTCTACTCTGTGCTTCATTTCTATATTTGAAGATAAGATAAGATAAGATAAGATAAGCCTTTATTGTCATTGTACAGAGCCCAATGAAATTACAGTTCAGAACACCCATTCACAAGAAGAAAGCATCCTACAGTACAATTTATTTAGAGAAATTAGTTCATATCATGCATGTGAATGTGGGTTGTTACATTATCACTCTACTCAACTAGACTACTGAGAACAAATCAGTTTTGTTTGTTTGTTTGTTTTCCATCAACAAAATATTTTATTTGTAATGACCATACCAGAACATCTTAAACAGCCACAACCCGTATGTGAGTTCTGGTGCTTGCATGCTTTGCGTATGTGTAGGGTCACCTAGTTTTAGTATTTTTTCTACTTCTGCCTTTAACCTGGCCTGTATGCAGACTTTTGCCCTTTTCTCCATACTTTTTGCTGCATGGCTGATGTCACACTGATAAGGTAATGAATATTACTAACTATGTAACAACTTTAAAATGACTTGCTAGTTTATGTGCTTTTAATCCCAGATCAAGTCACATAAATTAATTTTGTTGTCTATGAGTTGCTGCAGTAATTTTTTTCCACATGATCTTACCTGAACAGTTGTGTTCTTGTACCATGTTTCCTTTAACATGGCACAGGTCACCTTGAGTGCTGTTACAGGTGATGTGGAGATCAGCTTTGCAGTAGGTTGGTGAACTCCCCTGCACGGCCTGGGGGATGTGTTTCTTTCTCTTCTTGGGCAGCTTCTGCTTGGCCATGGCCAGAGAGTAGTACATTCCAAAGTTATTGACAATAACAGGCACAGGCATGGCTATCGTCAGCACACCCGCCAAAGCACATAATGCACCCACCACCATGCCTGACCAGGTCTCTGGGTACATATCACCATAGCCAAGTGTAGTCATGGTCACAACAGCCCACCAAAATCCAATGGGAATGTTCTTGAACTTGGTGTGGAGGGCAGCAGTAGGGTCATTAGGCTTTGCACCAATTCTTTCAGCATAATATATCATGGTGGCAAAAATGAGCACRCCCAATGCCAGAAAAATGATGAGCAGCAGAAATTCATTGGTGCTGGCACGCAATGTATGGCCAAGTACCCTCAGTCCTACAAAATGACGTGTTAGTTTGAAGATACGCAATATGCGTACAAAACGCACCACCCTGAGGAAACCCAACACATCCTTGGCAGCTTTTGAAGAGAGACCACTCAGCCCTACTTCCAAGTAGAAGGGCAGAATGGCCACAAAGTCAATGATGTTGAGAACACTTTTAACAAACTCCAACTTGACCGGGCAGAATGTCACACGCACAAGGAATTCAATTGTGAACCAGAAGACACAAACACCCTCCACATATGTGAGTGCAGGATCCGTTTCAATTTCATACTGTGGTCCTGAGTCATGCCCGCTGCTATTCCGTACYTCCGTCTTATTGATGATTTTGTTGAAAGCTTCATGAGTCTCCAAGCAGAAGGTAGTAATGGAGACCAGGATGAAGAACAAGGATGCAAAGGCAATAAACTGAAGAAAAGGAGAGAGAAAAACACACATTAAACACGTCACTTAATTGCTTATCATTTAGATTAGACTTGATATCTATTACTGTACTCTATTGTTTTTACACATAAAAGTCTGAAATGTGTAGCAAACATTCAATCTCCTTTTACTTTTACTTACTGAAACCCGAAACTAAAATCAAATGCAACCAACTGCGTTTAAAATACATCGAGTGTCRATCTGTGTGTAATTTAATGTCCTTATGTTCTCTGAAGGTATCAGCGTTTTTTTTTTATAAAGCATTATTAACAGGGCATCAAACAGAGCATCAGAAGCCCAAGGAACACCAGACAYTCCAGAAATAAAGCTGTATTATGACCAAATGTGGAATGTTTAAGAGGTGTTAATCATTTGTCAAAGCACTGTATATATATTTGTTCATTTCATGCTARTCATAAAAAAAATCTATTACTGAATGAAAAGGGTGCAGAAAGAAGAAAAAAGTCTTGTAACATCTGTCCCTTTTTAATAAAATGACAAAACAAACAACTTAAACTTGAACAATCTCCATATTTAACAACATAAAAACAAAAATAACAGAAAGAATTATATATCTTCACTAAACACTAGCATCACACTTTCGCAATAGATTTAACTTAGTAATCTTTTTAAACATATGAATTGTTGTTGAAATTTTATGTTGGTATTAAGACCATCCCACAAAACTAATCCCTGAGTAACAGTGCTCCTTCAAACTTGTTTGAAAATGAGGTTTTGTAAAAACTCCATTCCCTTAAGGTACTAGTGACTTTTTTCTTAACAAAGTTTGATTGAATATTTGAAGCCAGTATGTTTTTATGAGCTTTATACATTATTTGTAAAATACTATAATCAGCAAATAATTATAAATGATGAAATTATTTATTTGTTGGGGTGACCATAGCAGTTTCTACCAATAATTCTTACTGCTGCTCTTTTTTGAAAAACAAAATAGATTTCTGTTATTTTCTTGCATGCTTTTCCCCCAAACTTCAATAAAAATAAATAGTATGTGGAACCATTATTGTATTATACAGTATATACAG